AGATTCTGAGGTGTGAGCTTGTGTACTTGTGTACTTTTTCAGCTTATCCCACAAGTTTTCTATGGGGTTTAAGTCAGGAGACAAGGAAAGCTGTGGTAATACTTTGATTCTGTGCTCAGTGAACCACTTTTGTGTTGATTTTGAGCTGTGCTTTGGATCATTGTCCTGCTGGAAGTTCCAGCCATAGCCTAGTTTACATTTCCTGCCTGCGGCAATCAGGTTTTGGCTTAATATGTGCTGGCACTTGATGGAGTCCATGATACCATGTATCTGGACGAGTTTTCCAGGGCTTTTGGAAGAACAACAGCTACACTTCATCACAGATCCACCACAACACTTCACAGTGGGGATTTGGTACTTTTTCTGCATGGCTATCTTTGTGTCTATGCCAAACCCACCTTTGGTGTTTGTTGCCAAAAAGCTCAGTCTCACTGATAGTTCCAGTAACATCTTATGAACTGTAGGCATTTTGTTCATCCTCGACAGCAGAGGCTTTCTTCTGGCAACCCTCCCAAACAACTTGTGGTTATGTAAGTGGTGTCTGGTTGTAGTTTGATAGATGTTCTGACCCCAAGAGCTAAACAATGTCAATGGCAATTCAATATAGACATATGTCCACTTCCCAGCAGATTTCTAACATCTCAAATTGCTTTAAACTGGTTAGTTATTGATCTGATAGTGGAAATGGGCATTTTAACTATTTTGCTCTTTTCTTTTAGCCATTTCCTGTTTTGTGTAGGTAGACAGTCTTTTGTCACACAATGTTACTGTATTCTCCTAGTGATGGATGACTAAGGGAATTTGGCCCATGTGTCACCTCATATTTACACTCCAGTGAAACAGGAAGTCACGGCAGATCATTAAGTTTTCCTAATCGCTCAATATGAATGTAAATATACTTTAGCTTTGCTCTTATTGTGATTTCACTTATAAAATTTCTAGGGCTGCCAACAAATGTGGCACACATAGGTTTGAGAAAAAATATTTATGTCATGATAATATTTAGGTTTTTCTCTAAATTATTATATTTGAAATAAAGGTTAGATTTTGTTAATATTTGGAATGACTGATCAAAAAGCTACGCAACAAGGAGTGTTTTCCACTACCCATTTAGCTCATGTTTACCAGGGGTGCCAATATTTGTTGAGGGCACTGTATCTGCTTGTACTCCTACACCTAAACAGAATAATAGAAATCTGATTCCAGTTTTTGTTTTTTTGTGTGTGTGTGTGTGTGTGTGTGTGTGTGTCTGTGTAGGTGAAAATAAGTTAACACATCCTTTACAAGATGCAAACATATGGCATTTTTCTGGCTTTAACATATTGGAAAAAAAACATAAAAAATCTAAATGTACCATACCATCTTATGTTTATTTTTTCCCAATATGTTAAATTCAGCAAATAAACAGTAACTGTCCATTAGAATGTGCAGAATTGTATTCTCTATAGAGGATGTGTTAACTTATAATCACTTATAAAATCATCAAAGCATAATTTAATTGCCCAAACTTTTGCACACAACTATATTTTGGCATGTAAAAAAAAGAAGCGATGTCAACAGCAAATATAGAATTAAACTGGTGAAAGATTTGTTCTCTTGCTTCAGGTGGATGTATTTTTTTTTGCTGGTAAAAATGAAATGCAATAAAAGATGGAAACACATTTGCTAAATAAATAATGTTCATGCAAATAGAATTAAGTCATATGACTGCTCACTTCTGTCTGCTTTACCTTGCCGTAACAACAAAACAAAGCAGGAGTCAGCAGTCAGCAGCAGGTTGATGAAGCTAAAACGTACCCTTTTCTCATAAAGAAACCTAATGGTGATGTTAGGTGGTAAACAGACATAAGGTGCCTGCCTCTGAAATTGCTGCCAGTGCGTTTTGTCTCTGCACTCTAATGATGGAAAAACAGAGCCATAAAATTAAACAGAACAGCAACAAGAAGCTGTTCAGCATTAAATATTTCTCTGTAAACTCGCTCAGAAGTGTTTTTACGACTATGACATTGTCTTGTTATTGTCTTGTTCAGAGCTAATGGAAACTCAGACTAATATGTATAATTATTTTTCAACATTTCAATTATTTGCTTGAATTTAATTTGACAGTTGGGTGGAGACCTGGCAGAACATATGCAGGTATGTAGCTAAATCCAATCCAACAGTAAGAAAAGATAAACAGATCCCAGTCCTGAGCTCCACACCAGCAATGAAATAATGGGTAACTGATCTGAAATCAGCACATGCGTGAAGGGTTTGGGCAAGCTTGTAATACTGAGAAGTCTCAAGCTGTGCTGCCTTTAACACTCGGAATGGAAGAGAGTCTACTGTTTTGTGTGTAACGACTTGAATAGTGTGTGCCTGCATCTGTGCGTATGTATGTCTTGCAGTGTAGCTTCCATCTGTGCCAAGTCCCGCAGTGCTACTGCAGTATTGCTTTATTTAAATCACATATGCACCATGAGTAGCACATACCAACTTGAGACAGATGCACGCGCACAACAGGCTGTCTGAGGCATGTGAGCCTCTCATGTGGTACGTGGGGTCAAAGGCGACCCGCAGTGCCGCTCTCCATGGTGAGCATCAGTGCATTAACCTTAACATAAGCAGACATAATTCAGCTTTAGAGAGCACACTTCACTATCTTCTGCCCCAGAAACTAAACATTTCATATGAATCACTGTCCACTGTATCTCGAAGGCTTCTCCATGATGGAACAGCCAGCAGCAGCCTAGATGTACTTAAAGTTCTCTTTTCTTTCTGAATGTTTTGCTATTGTGTGCCTTATTAAATATGAAGAGACTGCCTTGCAAAATGATATGATTCTGAAAAGGATACGTGCCTTAAGACTCAATATTAGATGTTGATAAATAGCCTACAAAAATGTTTACATGTCAGCTCAAGTCAATACTTGAGAACAGCTTAAGTAGATGTGATGTCTCCAAGCAAAATATTGAGTAATTGAGGACAGTATTACAAAGAATGATTTGGGAGGAAATTGGCCCAGTCACAAACAGCAGCTTTGCAGCATTATTCGCCTTATATCTGAACCTTCTGCTATTACCCATCGAATGGTTCTGTCAATTGTTTGTGTAGGAAGTGGACGCTACATAAACACACCGTTTACTCTTTTTCAGATTTTCTCTTTGTCATTATCTGTTCCTCTTGCAAGGATGTGCTTGCTAAATGTGGATGTACTGGTCAAGATTTTTTTTTTTGAATCTTTGAAGCTCACACTATGTGGCTTAATTGAGAACATAAAACACACTAGAACATTTTCAGGGCATTAGCCAGTATAAAGTATTTGCTGTTCAGTGGGCCCAACTGGCATTTTCTAATTTTCATAGGTGACAACCTCTAGTAGAACTTACATTCACAGCATCTAAACTCTATAAAATCACTGACACCTGTATAGCATATTTTTACCATTAAATCTTTTAGCAACAACAGCAATTTATCCTGTTTTGATTTTCTTTACTGTGATCTATTACACAGATACATCTGTGATCTGTCGCTCTAATTACTTCATACAGAAGTTCATTTTACTTTATTTGGAAGTTAAACAGCTAAACGCAGTTGTTAACTATGCATACAAACAGGGCCGGGGGAAGTGGGACTGCTGAGCGTGCTAAAACACCCCCTACTTTTCAGGATTGCTTTTCACGAACTGCTAAAAATAATGATTATAATAAAATGTTCTGAACTTAATAATTTGAGTGTAATAAAGACCCATGCGTGCTTGCTTTAAAGTGGAGTTTTTATCTTTACATTTTATTTCTATGTTTTCAAAACCTGCAGTAGCCGTGTTTAAGTTAACACTTCATTTTCATTGCAGTGAGCCAAATCGCTTCCCTCGCCAATTGCTGGCCACTTTAGGGACATGCTGCTAAAACTCACACAGATTAAGGTGCAAAAAGGGAAAGTGTATGCAAAGTTATAGACCAGTTCCCAAAGTGGCCTAATATTGTTTTTAAACTTTAAAAAAGTCATTGTTCACATCATATACAGTACACATTGCTTAAAATTTCAGTACCCATACGCAGTCTAAGACAGGAAAAAATAGAGCAGAATCAGGTTGTGGCCTACAATGAGTTTACAGGACAAGGACATTCTGACTCTGAGATTGAGGAGCAAATTTATCTTTGCTAATGCACTTTTTTGCCTTAAATATTGGGCGCATGTTTAAGTGAGTTACACTCCAGACACTTTAATATTTTCTTTTTTTATTGGTTTGCCTTTGTTGTTTTTTTTTTTCCTTTCTTTTTCTACAAGGAACTAAAGTCTAATCCCTCAAACGCTGATCTGATTATTACAGCATAACACCTTTTTAATGTCTGGCAAGGTTTTTCATGTGGGGTGGTATCTGTTTTGTTCGTGTACAAAATTTTACATAAATCAGTATGCCTACACTACCACCCACAGTCTGAGCACGTGACTTTTTAGTCTAGTATGCCTTAGACAGAAAGTGAAAAATCAGAACATGCCAGGAATATTGATGTTAATTGGCCTGAATTAGAGTAGATTTCGTGTATCTCAGCTTTACATGGCCGCATACCGCCAGAATTTCCATAGAAACTTTATTTATACAGGTAAAATGTATAGGTTGATATCTGTGCATTCTAAAATGAAGTTGCATCAAAAGTAAGAGGCATCTTGTTATTTAAAACAATGACTCATGCATCATCATGCTATGTCATTTTCATACAGGCATAGCTGTGCCATTCAAATACAGTGCAAATACACTAGCTTTAATTACTTACCTCATTAAATTGCAACATAGATAAGCCCATTCTGGTCACACATCTATAGTACAGAGCAAACTTATTCATTTCTGTTTCATTCTACTTACTCTCATAACACATATACACAAAAATACTGTAATATATTTTCAATGTATTTGATTTTTTAAAATGCCTGCCAACAATTAAGGCACTCAGCCTTTATTACTGATGGTTTTCTCTAGCTGATAAAGGGTGTAACACTCTGTTGTTTTGCATCTGCAGGCAGTCCAGTGAACCTGACGTGCCGAGCGTTCTTCGGCTACAGTGGCGACGTGAGTCCGCTCATCTACTGGATGAAGGGCGAGAAGTTCATCGAGGATCTGGATGAGAGTCGGTTCCGAGAGAGCGAAATCAAGTGAGGCAGTTTTTCTGTTCAATGGGTTCTGCGGTGTTTTCTGTAGCATGATGAAGCTAGTAGCTCTCTTTAAAGCAAAAATCATTTGAAACTATTTTGTATAATTTCCGCCTTATTGGCTTCTTTAGTTTTGCTCTTGAGCTACGAAGCTAATGTAATGGAAGCTTGTAACACAAATTAGCATTGTGCTAACGGTATGCGTTGATGATCTCATTCTTGCCTCAGTGTCAAGTTGTTAAGTAATCTTAACAAACTTGTTTGTTTGGTTTGTGACATTGTATGGCATACTGGTACAAATTAAAATGAACAAAAATCTCGATAAAACTTTGGATTGAAGGTGGCAGCTACTACAGTTTTAAGCAGTGCTGCGTACTTTTGGCTAGTTTTATTTATTTTAATAATATTATTGATAAACTACATTTGAAATAAAGGGATCTTTGTATAAATAGGTTTCTTTTTACCAAGCTTCATGTAGACTGTTCTTGAATGCTCATAAAATGCTCTTTAATCACTACTGTTCATGACAGATCCATGCTAGGACAGTTTGCATTTTAAAAGATTGCTGTAATTCTGAGCGTTCCGTTTGCTTTGTTATTGTATAATGTGCTTGGAAACTTAGAATATATAATATAGTGGGGCAAACCTCCTCAAATGTAGTTGGCATTTCATAATCTATCTCCATGTAGGCGGCTTGAAGCTGTTCCTGGGTTTACCAGTGGTCAAGTGGTCGTTACAGAGGGTATGAGTGGCCTAGTGGTTTCTATGTGGTGGACCAGCCACATTGTGGACATTACTGAAAGTATGAGGCTGACTGGATGGCTATGTGTGTCAACAAATTGCTTTAGACCTATAAAAACAGCTGTACATATTGTTTTAATGAATGCTTGTTCGGTCTGTGCATGTTTGCATAGCCATAGGCTTTGTGATCTTATGCTACTTCTTTTTGTAGTGTGGCCTGAGCCCACTCTTGAGGCCACAGTCTCAACTATGTAGCTTAATACAGCAAGTACAGAATGAGCTAAGACAAACGTTTTGTTGCAGTCAGTGCAAATATCTCCTTTAGTGCCTTGAGCTGAGGACAGGGTTACAGTGAGATGGCTCCTACTGAGAGCGAGGTTAGCCAGAGATGGCTGCTCCTTTTCTGATCATTATCAATGTTTTATTCTGGCTATTAATAATGTAAGGCAGGCATGCAATCTTTATCATAGCGTGATAAGACTGATGGTACACAGTGCTGACAGGCTCAAACACGAGATCTACCCGCTGGAGACCCTGAAGACTGAGCAAATGTAGAAGAACACACATCCTAGAATACTCTGGTCTAGAACAGATTTGTATAGTATGCCTCATTTTGGTACTTTGAAGTGGTTTTTTTTTTGGTCATGTGTTGCTAAATTGCATAGCAGATCACATGATTCTTAGTAGAAGTAAGGCATGGCTGACATGAAGAATTTACCACCTATACTGATTTTAAAGAGCTAAGGATTTCAACGTGAGCATCACAGTGCAAGCACTGAACTCCCAGAACAATCTGTGGAAATATCTTATCACTGTAACATGGAACTCATAGATAAAGATCCCCATGTTCTGGAAGCAAGAGCCCCAACCTCAACTGAACCGGCCAAACTTGATTTTCATCCAGGAATAGCTCTGTAAGATTTACATTTTATTCATAAACATTTTATGAGTCATTTTATTTGGTTTTTGGACATTTCTAGTGGTTACTTTCTCATTTTTTGAATAGCATCAGGGTTTTAGAGAGTAACTTGAAAGTAGCAAGTAGTGAGATTGTTTTTTGTGTGGAAATCTCATTACAGGTTGTTATAACATGGTTATAACATGTGATCATAATTCTTTTTGATCGTTGTTTTAACCAAGATGGTGTTTTATGTTTAGATTTACCAATTCAGCCTATAATAAATTGAGCAGATGGCAGCTTAGCAGTCTCAATAAAGACTGGTACACAAGCATGAAATCATTAAATTCTCATAAATGAGCAATTTTTTTTTTTATATCTGGGATGTCTGTTTGCTACATTATGAACAAGCCACTAAATATTGCTGCTTTTTTGGCATCATTTCAGATACATATTAATCTACTGGATCTCAGTATTAGCCAGTGTTATCAGTTATATATCGGTCTGGTCCTAGTCATATCATTGAGTAACAAGTAGCCCTCCAGCTCTAACTCATGTCATGAATGGACAATACTTTTCCAGGTTGCAAAACAAAGTATTGATATTATGTCAGACCACCACATGACACAGTTTAACAGCATTTATGAATGGTTCTAATGGATTGCGGTATGAAGATCACAACACTACATGATCTTCAAATTGATATATCTGATGGAAGTGAGCACCTTTGCCCTTGTTGATGTTTGTTGGTGAATGTTTTGCCATCTACATCAGTTCATTCATTTTATTCATTCTAGTTTCTAGAGCGAGTTTTCTCTCACATGATGTCTTGGCTCTTTTCATTAGCTAAGACACTCATTCATGATAAAATCTCCCAAGCATACAGTAGAGGAAATGATTATTGTTCCATTATGCTTGGGTACAGTGAGCAATGAGGTAGGGGAGAATTTATAAAGAAAAGTCTTTGTTCTGTATGACTTTACATTATGAGCGTGAAATTGTTCTTTGGTGCTTTTGAAGTGCTTCACGCTTAAAGGAGTCCCTCTACTAACTCACTCAAATGCACACACGTTCACAGATGAATTTGATTGATTAATTTTATTACCCTTTCTGACTTGCAGCCAAAAGATTGGTCTTTTTGAAGTAATTAAAAAAAGCAAAAACATATCAGTTTTCTGAATAATTTGTCTTAGTCTTTATGCTATGATGTTTGCACAGCACACACACACGCGTGCTGGGCATACACATGCAGCCCCACCCAGCGTGCCCATTGTTCCCCATGCACAGCAAATGAAAGCTAATGGAAAGGTTAACACCAAAACAGGGTCAGACAGGCAGCGAGAAGAGAGAGAAAATGAGTCAGTCAATGGAGTGACATTTAAGAAACATATCTCTGTTAGGCCAGCAAGGCTTAGAGCAGCGGAGCGGCAACACCCCGCACTGGCCTTGGGGAAAGTCCAACCAATTAGGGACTGGTGAAGGGAACGAGGAGAGGAGTGAGAGAAGACAGGGTTGTATGATTTTCTGGTACTAAAACATTACCTCAGTACCAAAATTTTTGAAGAGGTGCAATACCATCATTCTGATGCCTGATGACATTTTTCTTTGTATTGCACTCAAAAAAAACAGGGCTGTACAAGTGAAATACATGAAGGAGAAACTATTAATTTCTGAATGAGTTGAACAGTAATGAGTGCTAGAATACATGCATATATGATGCTAATGATGTTAGCATTAGCTACCTAGCTAGTTGACATTACTGTAGCAACTCTTTACAAAGTGAAAAACAACTATTAACACAAACATACAATTTTAGTTTATATTCTGGTGTAATTGGTAGTCATGTTATAGTGCCTGGTGACTTAATTCTCACCTGGAAGAGTAAATAATTAGCTAAATGTTAGCAAAACTGAAGAGGACCTCCTAGTAAACATATAGCTGGAGCTCAGGTAAGCAAACATTATTTGGGTCTGCCCTCTAAAAGTGATATTGCATCTGTTAGACGTTAGAACTTTGTTTTTGTAAGATTCATGAATCGGTTTTGAGTTTTCTTTCATTACTTATATTTTAGCGTTATGTCTGAGAGGCCAAAATCATTTATTTTCACCCCCAGTCGAACCTACAGATAATGCCCTGGGAAATATGTCATTTTTAGTGATTGTAAGTTTGTGTGCTGTTATAAATATTGTTCTGTTCTTTCTGTCAACCAACTGAGGCTATTAATTTTGTTGCCTATGGCATTTATTTGGTATCAATATCAAGGAATCAAAGTGGTTATTTGCACTGGAGTCAAAATTCTGGTATCGATCCCGCACTAGAGGGAGAAGGAGGAAAAAAGAGAGAGGAGAAGGAGGAGGTAGTGCAGGAATGCCAGTAGTTGAGTTGATTGAGAGAGAGTGGAGTGCATTTATATGTTGACTGACAGGTTGACAGATTGGCTATATTCAGGAAAAGGCAGGGAGATGTGAGTGTGTGTACGTGTCTTACCTTGCACACTGAGCAGCATTTATTATTCGCCCTCTGTCTTGCACTAGGCAACTTAAAGAATTGTAGACAGAATTGCATGACCACTTTTTCATAACCCTCCAGCTTTATCAGCATACTAACCACTAGCATTGTAGGTTTGATCTTAGTCTAATGAAATAAACCTTGCTCTGCAGATTCACACCACAGCAGCGTATTTGGAGCTAGCATCTTCAGCTGGAGGTTATGGCATTGTGCCATACTGGAGATCAAACAGTGTGTTTGCAGTGTGGCTGCCCTCTGGAGACATGTCAATCACAGCCCCCCTCGAGAGATCCTCTCGCTGTAGCTTACGCTCTGCAGAGCCATCAAAGTCTGCGTCTCCATTCTACTGATCTCATGAAGCTGCTTTCCAGAGAGCGACTGAAGCCTTGGTTATTATTCTTTGACACGTGATTGTGTATATATGTGTGTGTGTGGGTGTGTGTGTGTTTTCAAATGGCAATCTGAAATGAAAGGACAATATGCATGATGCTGAGGGATATAATTAAATTTATAGCTAGATACTTCTGTGTGATAGGTGCGTGGGTGGGCGTGTGTGAGAGTTTTACTGTATATACTGCTGTGAGTGTCAAAGACCTGAGCTGCCGCAAGCTGTACTCACAACTTGTTTTTATACAATGGACGCTATTTTCTTGTGCGCACAGGTGAAGTCTAATGGTACAGCACCGGCATGTTGCTATTTTGGTTGGGTGCAAGTGCATTTTTGCCCATTTGCGCTCAGTTGCTGTTTTGGTGGCAGTTATTTGCAGTTAGTATAAAAATAAATACAAAATTTAATTGCATTTAATTTTAATTTAATTTTTGCTTTAAGTAACTCACCATCATGTGTTTGTGGATT